TCTCTCTCTCTCTCTCTCTCTCTCTCCTCCTCCTCTCTCTCTCTCTCTCTCTCTCTCTCTCTCTCTCTCTCTCTCTCTCTCTCTCTCTCTCTCTCTCTCTCTCTCGTCTGTAGAAATGTTTCTTCTCGAGAGGTTTAATTATTGTTGAAAACACACTATAAGTAAGCGCGGGTGACGATGACGGTATAATCTCAGCAGCCGAAGATATTTCCCGAGCCGCTTTTTTCTTACGGCTGACGATCAGACCGACTAAATGCGAACGTGTTTGCGCCGTTCCGCCTTCAGAACTCCGACTAGGGCGCGCTTTTCCGCACATCACTCAGCGCTGCGAGCAGGCTGCGAGAGCTTCCCCACTAAGCTCTACTAATTACGAACGCGTTACGAAGATTCTGCGAGTGCGTGCGCTTGTGTGGAATGCGCTCGCGGTAAACTTTCGACGCCCACGCCGCCGTAACTAACTTACTGCAGGGGGTCGCACAGCGGCAGCAGCGATAAGAATAGCTGTAAAACGCAGTTCAATCACAATAAATCACCGGTCATTTGCTTACTCGAAATGTGCTAATCCACCTTCTGCTCGCCGGGAAAATTGCTTAACCGACAATTGCACACTCGACATTTGCCCACCTGAGAGTTACTGATCCGACGATTGCTCATCACGCGTGTGCGTACGTGCGCGCGTGTGCGTGTGAGCGCGTGCGTGCGTGCACGCTTAGTAGCCGACACGTGTCCTACAGATTGGAAATCATTCCCTCTTCCCGATTGGATGAAATTAACTTACAAAATCCCACTTAAAACATCTCTTATAATATATCTATATATATATAATTATATATAATATATATACACAACACACACATACACCACCAGAACAAATTTTGTGGTTATAAGTCTCATAACTACGTGTCTAAAAATAAAAAGTATTAGAAATGTGACGAGCTTTTGTCGTTTTTCTCCGTTATTGTTGTGAGCAAATATCGGATGTGCAATTGTTGAGTTAGAAAATGTCGGATGAGCGAATATCGGGTGAGTATATGTCGGGAGAGCAAGTGTCGGGTGACAATTGTCGGCGAACGGCAAACATCACGGTATGTAATAGCGTCATACGGCTGTGCACTCTGAAATGTCAAATTAATCAACTAGTGATTAAATAAATAGCAAATCGCTTCCCTGGTTACGAGAAACCCTTAGACGCCCGTGGTATGATATATGATACCACTTTTATATAGATTAATTTAACTGAATATGCACAGACTAATATAGGCAAATCTTTGAGCTCAATAAATTAGAGCTACAGCTGAATTTTTGGTAATAAGTGTTTTGAATCGCGGCTGGTAAAGATGTTATCGCCATCTTTATAACATCTAAATACTCTAGCTGCGGAAAAAGTATATTCCTTCGGGAAACTTCTCCTGTATTTGCCT